AACTTGAAATATCTTTAAGTCATCCATGTAGATTGTAACCTTGCTCTTCATATTTCCAAAATTTATTTGTGTGTACATATATTTGTGATATATAAATGCACGTTCCTAGCTATTTATGTGAATTCCTGACTGTTTCAGGCTTTTGGTACCATATCTACTTTAATAATGTTGACATGTATGATATTTTAATTTAACTTTGTTTGACTTTTTATCCCTTTTTTCTATGTAACTTTCCACATCATTTTTTTTCTTCATTATGAATTTTGTAAATAAATTACAGTTGGATTTCATATATTGCTTCACCTTGACATTCTTAGAATTCATGTTTACTTTGAAGCTTATATATTTGGTTTTTCACTTTTTTAGTAGTTTCAGCCTCATATTTAGATCTTTGATTGATTTTGAGCTGATTTTTGTATAGGATGGGAGATAGGGGACAATATTCAGTCTTCTGCATATGGATGTACAGTTTTTCCAGCACCATTTAGTAAAGAAACTGTCCTTACTCTAGCATATGTTTTTCAGTGTCTTTGTCAAAGATTAGTTGGCTATAGAAGCATGAATTCATTTCTGGGATTCTTGTTCTGTTCCATTGGTCCGTGTGTTTGTTTTTAATATTACAACACTTCTTAACTATGTCCTGAAATCTGGTATTGTGATGCCTCCAGCTTAGCTCTCTCTGTGTGCAAGGTTGCTTTTCTCTAATGGGGAATTTTGTGTTTCTACACAAATTTTAGGGTTTTTTTCCCTAGTTCTGTGAAGAATGTCATTATTATTTTGATGGTAAAAACATTGAATCTGTACATCACTTTCAGTAGCGTGGACATTTTAATAATATTAGTTCTTGCAATCCATGAACTTGGGAGGTTGTTCTGCCCTATGGTGTCTTCTATTTCTTTGATTAGTGTTTTCTGGTTTTTATTTTAGGAGTTTTTAAAAAAATATTTGATAAAATTTATTCCAAGGTATTTTTTGTAGTTACTGTGAATGAGATCACTCTTATAATTTCTTTTTTAGCAAGTTAATTATTTAATACATTGGAATGTTGCTGATTTTTGTGGTAGATTTGTTTTTCCTGCAACTCTACTGAATTCATTCATTGGTTCTAATAGTCTGTTGGTGCAGTGTTTAAGTTTCTTTGTGTGTAGAATCATGTCATCTTCAAGCACAGGCAATTTGACTTCCTCCTTCCCTAGATGTATGCCTTTTATCTCTTTCCTATTTAATTGCTGTGAATAAAACTTCTAGTGCTTTTTTGAATAGTAGCCATAGAGTGGACATTTTGTCTGGTTCTGACTTAGGGGAAATGCTTTTAGCTTTTGCCCTTTCAGTATGATATTGGTTGTAAGTTTGTCATACATAGCCTCTGTTGTTTTGAGGTATTTTCTGTCTGTATCTAATTTTGCAAGGTTTTTTTTTGTCATGAATGGTATTGAATTTTGTCAAAGCTGTTCAGCATTTGTTGAGATGATCATATGACTCTAATCTTTATTCTGTTGATGTGGTGTGTTATATTTATTGATTTCATGTGATGAACCTTATATCTCTGGGATAAATCTTATGTGATCATCATGAATGACCCTCTTGATGTGTTGTTGGCTTTAATTTGCTAGTATTTTGTTGAGAGTTTTTTGCATCTGTATTCATCAGGGACCTTGGTATTTTGTTGTTGCTGTGTCCTTATCTGGTTTTGGAATCAAGGTAATGCTGGCCTTGTAGAATGAGTTTGGGTCAATATTTTGAGAAGAATTGATGTCAGTTCTTCCTTAAAATTCTGGTAAAATTCAGCAGTGAGCCATCTGTTCCTGCACTTCTCATTGTTGCGGGACTTATTTTAATTACTGGTTTAATCTCATTGTTTGTAATTGGTCTGTTTAAGGATTTTTTTTTATGTCTTTACGATTCAATTTGGTAAGTTACATGTATCCAGATATTTATCATTTATCCTAGGCTTTCCAATTTGTTTGTATATAGTTGTTCATTATAGTTCTGAATGAGCATTTGTATTTTTGTAGTATCAGTTGTAATATCTCCTTTATAATCTCTAATTTTATTTGAGTCTTTTCTGTTTTTCCTTAGTCTAGATAAAGGTTTGTTGATTTTGTTTATCTTTTAAGAACATCCATTCTCAATTTCATCTATCTTTTTAATTTTGTTTTAATTTGAGAGACAGAGACAGACTCAAAGACAGAGAGAGTTCCAATTCCCTGGTTCACTACTCAGTTGCCAGCAACAAAGCTGGGCTAGGACCAGAGCCAAGAGTCAGAAACTCAGTTCCAGTCTCCCACCTCAGTGGCAGAAATGGGGTTAGTGCCTCACGGAGTCTGCATTAGTGGGAAGCTGGAGTCGGGAGCTGGCTCTGGGAATTGAAACTAGCCACTCTGCTGTGGGATGCAGGTGCCAGAAGGCAGAACACCCATTCCCTGTATTGTTTTGTTAGGCTTGGTTCCATTTATTTCTGCTCTCATCTTTGTTACTTCTTTCCTTCTATTAACTTTAGATTCGGTTGTTGTTTCTCTAGGACCTTGAGATGCACTGTTTGGTTGTCTATGTCATATCTTTTTATTTTTATATTATTATTTGAGAAGCAGATAAAGAGAAAGGCAGAGCTCCCCCATACAGAGCTGTTGTACTCCTCAAATACCTGCAAAGGCCATGTCTGTCTCAGGACCAAAACTGGTAGCCAGGAACTCAGTTCAAGTCTCCCATGTAGGTGGCAGGAACTCAAGTATGTGAGCCATCGCTGCTGCCTCCTGTGGTCTGCATTATCAGGAAACGAGTCTGGAGCTTGAGCTGGGTATTGGACCAAGCACTCTGATGTGAGAAGTGTGTGTGTCAACCGCTGGGCTTAATGTCTACTAATTTTTTTTTTAATTTAAGAGGGAGGGAGGGAGGGAGGGAGAAAGGGAAAGAGAAAGAGAAAGAGAAAGGGAGAGAGAGAGAGAGAGAGAGAGAGAGAGAGGTATACATGAAACCCAGGCATTCTAATGTGGGAGACAGGTCTCTTACTGGTATCTTAACCACTCAACCAAACGCCTGCCTCAGAGCTGTTAAACTTTTGAAGGCTAAGCGGTGTCTTACTTGCTTTTGGGTTTCTGGCACTGATATCAGGGTGGATACAGAATAAACAGCTTTGAGAGAACAATAAAAATTCACAAATAACCCTTGACACACATAACACAACTATCTGATCAAGATTCCACTGGAATTTCTTACAACAATGAATGTTTTCCCAGAAGCCATGATTTATTCCTGGGCCACCTAGCCTATATATGCTACTCAATAAACATGTCTCGGAAAAAGGGAGCTTCCTGCCTCCTATTCTTTCTCTGGTGTCCCAAACAACCCTGGCTCTTCCTGAACCCCAAATATCAGGCAGAGAGTGAGAGGAGTCGCCTCTGGAGCACTCAGATCTTGCTATGATCTGCCTGTTAAGGAATTCTTCCTGGAGCTGCTCCACAGCCTTAAACTCAGCTGTATCCAGCTGGCACATGCACCCAGGAGTGGGGTCAGTGTGCTTCCTGACAGACAGACTCCCTCCCACACCCCCTACTTGTCCCATTTTTACTCACTTCCACTTGGAAATCATTTTCCCTCGGCTATGAGAAAGAGCAACATCTGGTCTCCTGACACCCCTTGTCTGGGTGTAAGTATATTTTATTGTACTTACCAGTCTCCACACACACACACATTATTATTTAAGAGTTCGCTGAACTTTTTCTCATGCTTTCTCTTTGCCTGAGATGTTCCCCCGACATCCACTTCCATCCCTCATCATGGCTAAGTCTATACAAGTCTATTCCAAAAAGAAAGAAAGAAGGAAGGGAAGAGAGAGAGAGAGAGAGAGAGAGAGAGAGAGAGAGAGGCCTGTGTGTATCAGTATTGCTGCAATAATGCTTGTATCAAACTTGGTTTTATAGCTTTGTCAAACCAATGGTTAAGAATGTTATACTTCTATAGTTGTAATGATCTGTGATTATTTTAAGAAATACTGTATATGGGTGAAATGGTCATTTTTCCATCTGATTATTGTTTGTAGCTCTTGCCTATATTCCTGCTGAATTAGGGTCTTTTTACTTTTTGCTTGTTCATCTCTTTATTTAGTGGAGCATTAAGCCCTTGACTGTAATGTAAATTAAAAATGCTATCTCAAAAAACTAAAATAGATGGAAAGAAAGGGAGGAAGGAAGGAAAGAAGAAAGAAGGAGGGCAGGGAAGATTGGAAGGGAGGAAAGGAATATCACTATATTCCTAGAATTATGTCTAAGAACTACATTGACTCTGTTCTCTTTGTATTAATATTACATAACATGAAAAAATAAAATATCAGAAAAAAAAAGCTGAAACCAACATAGGGTTCCAAAGAAGATTTTTAGGAGTTAATAATAGCTGGAAAAATGCCCCTCATCTGAGTTTCCACAACACTGAGGAAATATATGCCTTATTTTATTTTTAAAAAAGATTTATTTTTTTATTTGAAAGGTAGAATTACAGAGGGAGAGAGAGAGAGAGAGAGAGAGAGAGGTCTTCCATCCGCTGGTTCACTCCCCAAATGGCCACAACAGCCAGAGCTGGGCCAGTCTGAAGCCAGGAGCCAGGAGCTTCTTCCAGGTCTCCCACACAGGTTCAGGGGTCCAAGCCCTTGAGCCATTTTCTACTGTCTTCCCAGGCCATATCAGAGAGCTAGACTGGAAGTGGAGCAGCCAGGACTCAAACCAGCCCCCATATGGTATCACTAGAAGACTTAATAGCTATGAAAACTCTACCGGAAAAAATTAATTTTAGTTGTGTTTCAAATCAGGAAAGACAGCTCTAGCCAATTTTGGCAGTCTTACCTCTGTTCCTCTTGAGCAAAATAACAGTAACGTACACCACCTATTTGTTCATGAAAATGTGTAAAAATTTAATTTTGACTAATAGTGCCTGCTTCCTGAAATAGGCTCATAACCCTATTTCAATTATGGAGGGGAGTAACTGTTTGCCATCTTTTTCCTTTGTAGGCTGTGAGGTTGAGATTCTGGGTGTCAGACCTACTTACTGCCTAGAATATAAGAATGTCCCAACAGATATCAACTTCGCCAATGCAGTCAGTGATGCTCTTGACTCATTCAAGTAAGTGTCCTAAATTCTTTGCCATACCATTGTTCTCCCTTGTTTCCAGGGCCAATAGTGGATCCTAGAGGGGATGGAGAGAGCTTGGTGTCGTGGAAACGACATCTCAGAGACTTGCTGAGCCTCTTGAATGGTGATTGCTAACTGCTAACTGGGGACAACTGTAGAAGTGATTTTGGTCAGAGGCATTCTTTGAAAATGTTGGATTGAGTGCACGAAAGTCCCCAGGATTCTGGGACCTACTTTTATAGGGTGTTGGATGATGGAGAAGCAATATAAATGTCAGCTTTTCCCTAATCATAATTTAGTGAACAACTGTAACTCAAGATATTAAGTATTTGGCAAAAAAGGAAGATCTGAAGTCAAATAAATTTGGAGAAACTGCCTGTTCTACCACTTTCTCAGAAATGTACAAGGCACGTCAGCATATCAGACACAGAACCTTCTTTATTCTCCTACATGGGGCAGTGACACGGTTGGAAAAGTATGGAAACTTGTCATGGTGTCCTGAAAAGCACCCACTAATCTGTCTGGGAAATTGATCAACAAGGTACGCCAAGACACTCTCAAGTCAACCTCAGAAGGTACTGGAAGCAGACAGCAGTGTGGGAGACCGTGGGAGTCCACATTAGAAACCAGTAACTATAAGGCTAAGGATGCTAGTTGGGGCAATGAGGGGCTAGGGAGGGTCTCAAGTTTCCAGGAATGGACCTGAAGTCACCTTGGCTGTTGAATGGGTTTCTGGGGTGGGTCCACACAGAAAACTCGGAGTAATCAGAGTGTGGAGATGAAGGCAGGATCTTCATTGTCACAAGAGAAGAAACCTGGTTTCCACATACCCCGTGAGCCAGGATGATATTCAGATCCCTAGAACTAACCACATGTATCAGCCAGAAACCAGGATTGCCTGACACAGAGTTCACCAGTTATATTTCCCGTTATCTGGCACTCCCTCTTCTGCCCCAGCCACTGGGGTTATCTGCAGTCTCCCCCAGAGCTACCAAAGGAGAAAATGACACCCCTGCTACTGCTGATTCTTTTTTGTTTGTTTTTTTTTTTTTTTCAAAAAATTTTATTTTATTTATTTGAAAGACAGAGTTACAGAGAGAGGTAAAGACAGAGAGAGGTCTTCCATCTGCTGGTTCAGTCCCCAGCTGGCCGCAACAGCCAGAGCTGTGCCAATCCGAAGCCAGAAGCCAGGAGCTTCCTCTGGGTCTCCCACAAGGGTGCAGAGTCCTAAGCACTTGGGCCATCTTCCACTGCTTTCCCAGGCCACAGCAGAGGGATGGATCGGAAGAGGAGCAGCCGGGACTAGAACCGGCACCCATATGGGATGCCAGTGCCTCAGGCCAAGGCTTTAACCTGCTGCGTCACAGCACCAGCCCAGCCACTACTGATTCTTAGGATGATTTCCCGAAACCTATCATGAGGGTCCTTTGGGGCACACAACACTCATGCTCTGATTGATAGATTGGATGAAAAAGAAGGTTCTAAAATACTTAAAAATGGAAAAGTAATAAATTTTAAAGTTTAGATTTTTCCCCCCATGGGAAGAGAGAAGAGGTAGAGTCTTTAAATAGATATTCTTCACATGCTCTGTAAATCATGTGTGTTATGTGATCCTGGCTCCTTACCGACACCGCGTTCATTTTCTTTTCCATGAGTGCTGGCAAACCACACTCATGCCGAGCTGGGGTATTGTGTTGCAGTCTCGTTTGTGCAAGCAAAGCAGAATCACGCAGCACGTGCAGCAGATGAGCAGAGTGGGAACTTTGGAAGAGTTCTGTGTCTAACCCATGCTATTTCTATCATACCCAAAATACTAGCTATGCCTACAGCCTTTTGCCACGCCAAATATGAAAATTTGGATTATTAAGAATAACCCAATCTCCAGATAACGCAAGAGTCTGTTTAGTAGTGTAATCTTTTCCCCCTTCATCTTGCCTTAACAGCTGGTTAGACGGGCACTGTATGTCACCCACTGACTCACAGGCAGTGCCGGTCAACAAGATGGCACATCTAAGCTGAATTCTTTGTCTTGAGGGACACCAGGACGCGGAATGCTGGAGCAATAGTATTGGGTTCTAGTTCTTCCTAAGAAGTTTTCTTTTTTTTAAGCAATCTGGAAAAACTATGAAAAACTAAGGAATCACATCTTTGCCTTGGAGTATATTTAGAAATGGGGAAGGTTTTGTTGTTGTTGTTGGAATATGTATGTTTGTCATTAGCAAAGGCATTGGGCTCCCTACAGAGAAAGCTGTGAAGACCTAGAGGCCCCTGTGGTGTTTCCCAGCGTACCAGTTCAACACTGCCCATAGTGCCGTCCACACAGATGTCCTTGAGCACCACGGGATGACTTTCAGATAGCCAGCTGTATGAATGATGATCCTGGAGTTGGGCAGCAAAGACCTGAGTGGGACTGAACCAAGCCAATGCAATTGTCTTGGAGGGTTCTTTGTTCTCCCAAAGTTAGCAGTCCATCAGGAAGAGCCCCTTTGAATAGCAGGTGGGAAAACAAACCTGTTAAAACTATAACTCGTTAGTACTTGAAATGAGGGAGACAGAAGAAAAATAACAGGCCAGGTGATACTGCCTGTGGGAGGCAGTAGACGATTTAGGCTCTCCACGCCCCCAAACCCCAATAAAATGGGAACATCTCCTCTACCCAACCTGCGCATAATTTGAACATGTCTCATGACCCCCTTACAAAATGGAATAAAGGACTGGTTATGAAGCCACAGTTTTTTTTAAAGATTTGATTTATTTATTTGAGAGGTAGAGTTATAGGCAGTGAGGGGAAAAGACAAAGAGAAAGGTCTTCCTTCCGCTTGTTCACTCCCTAAATGGCTGCAACGGCCAGAGCTGCACCAATTCAAAGCCAGGAACCAGGTGCTTCTTCCAGGTCTCCCACAAGAGTGCAGGGGCCCAAGAATTTGAGTAATCTTCTACTGCTTTCCCAGGCCACACAGTTAGGGAGTGAACTAACAGATAGAAGAACTCTCTCTTTCAAATCAATCAATCAATCTTTAGAAAAGTGAAGCTTCATGTACATGGAAAGACAATGCCTAGATCAAACGTGGATGACACACAACTTTGCCAACAGGCATGTTCAACTTGCTGACTGCACTCCGCCGAAATGTTCTTGAGTAGGAATCCATGTTCAAGGTCTTAACGCCCTCTGCTGCTTTCTGCAGAGAGCTAGATTGTAAGAGGAGCAGCCAGAACTAGAACCGGCACCCATATGGGATGCCACCACTGCAGGCGAAGGATTAACCTACTGTGCAACGGCACTGGCCCCAAATTTTTCTTTAAAAAAAATCCAACCTCTATCCTATTCAGAAGTGAGATTAATGATGGAGACGTACAGTCTAGAACAATCAAGATCACTTTGTGTTTAGAAGCTTGTCCCCACAGTCATGGGGCTCAAGGGAATCAATAAGTCTCTTGGTATGTGTAGGTAGGCAAAGATGTATCACTATATATCTCTCCTTTAGAGAGCCCCAGAAGGAGGAGTGAGTCGTTTAGCCACAGATCACCTCTTGGTTTCGATTCAGCTCAATCTCAAACTCCCAGCTACCATCTTAGGAGCAGTTTTCATATGTAAGTGCACAAAGACACACATGTCCCCAAGTCACAGAATGTCTTTGTCCACTTTATTACTGTCTGAGAAGCAGAGAGAAAGGGACACAGGATAGACAGCCTTTGGCAGAAAGCAGCAGAGGGCGTTAAGACCTTGAACATGGATTCCTACCCAAGAACATTTCGGCGGAGTGCAGTCAGCAAGCTGCACACGCCTGTTGGCAAAGTCGTGTGTCATCCACGTTTGATCTAGGCATTGTCTTTCCATGTACATGAAGCTTCACTTTTCTAAAGATTGATTGATTTGAAAGAGAGAGAGAGTTCTTCTATCTGTTAGTTCACTCCCTAAATGGCTGCAATGGCTGGGGTTGGGCCAGACTGAAGCCAAGAGTCAGGAACTCCATCCAGGTCTTCCACATGGGTGGCAGCCTTTAGGACTCTCTAAAGTACTTGGGTCACCTTCCGCTGCCGTCCCAGGAGCTGGATCAGAAGCTGGGCAGCCAGGACTCAAACCAATGCTGCCATGTGGGATGCTGGCATCGCAAGCAGTGGTTTAACCTGCTGCACCACAATGCTGACCTGCATGAAGTTTTATTGATTCAAAGTGTACCCTGGTGAGATGTGACCTTTGAACTTGGGCAGCATTTTAACAGAGGAAAGGAGAAGGGGAAAAGAACTGACACCTTAACACCATCTCCTGGCACCGTGTCAGAGGGCTGTAGTTGCATTAACCCATCTGGTTTTCCCGCCACCATATGGTGTAGATGTTGCCCCAGTTCACAAGAGGCCACTGACTCTCTGGGAGCTAAATGCCCTGCCTGCATCACCCAAGCAGGTAGGTGGTGAACTCTTCCCACAGGCTCAGGCCCAGTCTCCTGCGGCCTGTGCCAGGTGCAGAGTGATAGAAAGCCAGCACGGTCTTCCCTTACCCGTGGTTTCACGTTCCAAGCTCTCAGCTATTCACAGTTAGCTGCAATCTGAAGTTATTAAATGGAAAATTTGGTATTTGAGAGAGAGACTCCACTCATATAACTTTTATTGCAGCATTTATGACAGTTGTCCTATTTCATTATGAGTTAATGTTGTTGATCTCCTACTGTGCCTAATTTATAAATTCAAATTTATCATAGGTGTATACAAGGGGTCTTTAAAAAGTTTATTGGAGATGTGTATTTTGAAAAAACTATGCTTGGATTTCCAAACTTCTTCAGCAAAATAAACCTATCTTTTACTTGCATTTTTGCACCAACTTTTTGAAATACCTCATAGGTGCAGATAGGAAAAAGTATATATAAACAGGACTAGGTACTATGTGCAGCTTCAGGCACCCACTGCGTGTTCTGGAACATATTCCCTGCAGACAAGAGGCCAGCTGTGCTCCCGAGTCAACCCCTCAGCCCTCTACACCCACACTTCTAAGATGCCCGGAAGCAGAACCACATGGGAAAAGGACCATCTCTTGGTCACTGTGCTCTGCACCACCACCCTGGGCCTGGGCCTGGGCCTGGGCCTGGGTGGTGGCCTTTGAAGCCTGCTCAGCACTTCATGCATTTGGCAGTCACTGTGGTGCTGTCTGTGCCCCGCCACCACCCCTGGAGACTCGTAGGTACCACCCCTGCACCTTGCCTCTCAAACCAGAAAGTAATTTTCTGATCCACATTGCTTAACCCAGCCCTAGAATTGCTGATGCAGGATATTCATGGTTCAGTCGGAAGAAAAAAAGATCCTGGTGCTAAGAGTGCAATTAGCTTCAAGGAGCGTCTGGGCCAAGTGGCAGAGGGTGCAGGGCAGCAGTCCCAGTCAGCCCAGGCCGCCTGGAGTGGGCCAGGCGCCTACTTCCCTGCTGATCTGTTGGCAGGCTGACCGTGCACCTAAACAAGGACTTGGTCAGGAAGCAACTGGGCTGCAGGAATGATGGAAAGAGCTGATGTCCTCGGCCACATTCCAGGCTGTTGACATCGGCTCCCAAGGAGTTCCTTCAGGATCCCAGAATCAGTGGCTGCTGGTGTTAATGTAGGAGCGAATGGAGAAAGAGTTCTTTCCTCAGGAAACCGGCACAAACATCGTGGCCTTGGCTGCTCCTCCCTGTGGACTGAAAGAAAGGAGGGGCAAGAGTGCAGGCTCAGGTTCCGCAGAGACCAAGTGCTCCCAGCTCAGCACACCACTCAGGAAAAGCAATCCAGGGCCATCTGGAAGGAAGAGAGAGATGGGAGGCAGTTCTTCCCCTTCTCGCCTTTGCCCTGTGTCAAGCACTATACAAACACCAGTTCACTGCATACCCAACATAACCGTTCGAGTGGATTTTCCAGATGGGGACGTTAAACCTTGGAGATGTTTTTGCCATTCATCTGAGACCTCCAAGAGAGTAAGAAGAAAAGTCCAATTTGAACCTAGATTCGTCTATTTCCTGTGCCCTTATCAAAAGGTCATTTGCAAAATGAAAACTTTGTCACGGACTCACTACATCTTTATATGAAAACTCTGCCCAAGTTCAAAGTAATGTATTACTCAGAGAACCACGAGGGTGACCAAGCTGGGTGAAAGGAGAGTATGAGACGCGCGCACGTGCACACACACACACACACACACAGAAAAAGAATGATGGGGAATGGAGGGCTCGAAGTATCAGCAGATGCTTAATACTGTAAAGAATAATTAAACTATAATTTGGTGAAATAGATTTTCATCCTCCCAGTCCCCTAATACTTAACAGCTAAAATGAGAGATGGAACACTAGTCAGTAGTTAAATCTGGTGCCACTTAAGCAAGTTGTTGGACAGTGTTCTAATATGGTGTTGAAAAGGTAGTCATGGGGGGCCTTATTTCTAAGTTTTTGATCAATTTTCTTAAGAGAAATAACCAATCATCCCTTTAAATTGCCTTCACTTCTCTCTCTCTCTGGAAGTCTCTATTTCCAACACATTTCAGTGAGGAAAATGATGAGACATTATGAAATTTTTTTTCATTTCAAAGCAATCTGGACAAGATCATAAGATGATGGGAGACTTGGGTGTCCCTGAAACCCCAGGACTGGGGGCGCCTTGTGGCTCGCAGGGAACTGGGCTGATGGCCACATGTCCTTCTGGCACGATTCCTGGGCTTCGGAGCTGCAAACGGCCAAGAGCAGATCTGCAGGCAATTCCACCCATCTCTCCTCACCCAACCAGTCCATGACGAACGAGCTGACCCGTGATGGATACCAGAGCCATGTGGAAAACAGCTGGCCACCAAAAATGTGTCAGCTCAACTCCAGCCCGGCAAGAGCTCTGGTCCCTTGGGGACTTCAGTCCCCCATGAATCAATGACCTTCAACCTAGAGTCCTGCCATGAAAGGCACGTGTGTAATCCTTGAATTGCAAGCGGCCGTATCCAGCATCCCCTCAGCATCTGGCACTGAGAGCTTCCTGACACACAGCCATCAGGTGAGCTGTGATACTTACGGGCTTGCTGACCACGTAGGAAGCAGCCCAGTGACTGCTGCCGCAGGTGAGGTGTCTGAAATGAAGAGACCCAGGAGCGTTGCTCTGAACTGGAATGCCGCATGGAACCTCGTTGGCCAGGACTCCTAACCCAAGGAAATCTGCGTTGTATTAAATAGGGTTTTCCCAGTATTAGCTGTGGACACCGAAGCAGATGATGCGCTGTGCAGCTCTGCACATCTGGAAAGCTACAGATGCAGGCACATAAAGCATATCAGATCTGAGGCTTAGCTGAAGGGCAGGTTTTACAGCGGGTCCACTCTGTTCAAACACAGTGCTGGAGGAAGCACTGTGGGCCCCATCCGTGTAATGAACGTGGGCCTCAAAAAAGTTCAGGCATACGTATGGAAACGCCATTACCTGGTGCGAACATTTGGCCCCCACCTACACAGCTGTGGGCCCCTGGAATGACTTAATGTTCTCTGCTGTATTCTATAGATGCAGAGGGAGTTTGGATTAGTCATTCGCACATTAGCAAATATGAATAGTTATAACATCAGGACCCCTAAATAACAACCTGACATCGTGGAAGAGGGTGGTAATGGTGCTTGCTACTGACTGGCCTTTTTTTTTTTTTCTCTAAAAAGAGAATGGAACATTTGACGATTTCACTTCTCTTGACACCAAAGTGCCCTCGAAAATGCATGCAGTAACTGCACCAGTGCTGGTAGGCGGATCTCACCTGCGAGACCCGCCAGTGCTTCCCTCTCAGGATAGTCCTCGGGCGCTCTGGACGTTGGGGACCCATTCCGCCCCCAGACACGGAGCCCCTATGCATTGAGAGTGACAGTGATTCGGTTCACTGTGCTACTTTTGGTGGGGGTCTTGGGCGAGAATAAGAACCACTGGTAAAAGATCAGCTGGGCTGAGCACAATGTTCTCCCACTGGCGTGGGCTGCTGAGTTCCCTTGTAGGATTCACTAGCTGTGTTCATAGGTGTGGAGTCAGCTGGTTCTGGCTTTGAATCCTGCCTTGACTAGTGCTTGGCACATGGAATTCATCACTGATGGAGCATTTGCTATTATTCCTTTAGCAGTCAGTTATAGAGCTCCTACTGTATGCTAAATGCTAGCTTACAGCTGAGATACAAATATAACCGAGCATGAACCATCACCTCTAAGGTAAAAGAATCTCACTGTTTAGAGAGAGAAGCAGACAAACAGTTGAGCTACGGCAGCTCAGTGTGAAGGTTCATAGGCTATCGCCGGCATCGCCACCATCGGTGTCATGGCGCAGCGCGTTAAGCTGCTGCCGGCAACACCACACCACATCCCATATCGGAGCTCTGATTTTGATTCCCAGCCGTTCTGCTGATGACCCAGCACCCTGCTAATATGCCTGGGAAAGCAATGGAAGATGGCCCAAGCACTTGGGCCCCTGATGCCCACCTGGTTCACCAATTCGTTGGAAATTCCAAGCAGAGAAGTTTAATTTTTCTTCCATTTTTTCCCCCAGCTTTTGCCAGTTGCCACCACCACCATCATCGTTATCGTCCTCCTCATTGTTCTGATCTATTTATGGGAAGGTTGTGGCAAAGCCGGAGCTGGGAAGGGGCATCCCTGTGTGGAGGGCAGCACGGTTTTTCCCTGCCCTTCCTCACTCTACAAACCCCTGCTGCCACCTGGGTCGCCAGATCCGAGCCTTTCCTGGCCTGGCTTGGAGAGCTAAATAGCTTGGATTTTTGCCATCCATACCATGGTCATCAGGGGTGTTGGGTCAGAGTCAAGGTCTTCCTGGGCACAGCGAGGTGTGTTCACTGCTGGAGTTCACTGGATGCCAACTGTGGAGCTGGCCCCACAGAGCACGGATCCTAAACCTCCCATAGGGTGGCTGTGGTGATTCGGAGCTTAACCTTGCCCCTCAGCCAGACCCTGGAGCATGGCAGTAATTTTCTTTTAAATATTTATTTATTTATTTGAAAGTCAGAGTTACACAGAGAGAGGAGAGGCAGAGACAGAGAGAAAGGTCTTCCATCTGCTGGTTCACTCCCCATTTGGCTGCAGCAGCCGGAGCTGCGCCAATCCAAAGCCAGGAGCCAGGAGCGTCTTCCGGGTCTCCCACGCGGGTGCAGGGGCCCAAGGACTTGGGCCATCTTCCACTGCCTTCCCAGGCCATAGCAGAGAGCTGGATCAGAAGAGGAGCAGCAGGGACTCAAACTGGCGCCCATATGGGATGCCAGCACTGTAGGCGGCTTTACCCGCTACACTACAGTGGAGCATGGCAGTAACTGAATGGGAGTTACTCAAATGGCTGCTTCTAGTTCCCCAGTGACAACAGGAGGTGAGGACGGAGCTATGAAGATGATCACCTCCTTGCTCTGTGAGGGCACGATGGGCAATGCCAGTTGACCAAGAGATGGGCAAGGATGGGCAGCTGGTGTTAGCCCTCGCCCTCACCAGGCCTCCTCTCCTTGCTCCCTCCAGGAGCGGCCGGGCCGACCTGGCGGCCATCTACCACGAGCGCATCGACGTGGAAGGCCACCACTACGGCCCTTCCTCCACTCAGAGGAAAGACGCACTCAAGGCTGTGGACACTGTCCTGAAGTACATGACCCAGTGGATGCAGGTGAGCCAAAGCCCCCAGTCGGACCCCTCCTGCCACACCCTGCACCTCAGCCGCCTTACTAGGCCAGCACAAGGCTTTGCTGTCTTCTTTGCTCTGCACGAAGCCTCTGGAAGCACTGAGAGACGCCTCGTTCCGCAGCCAGGCCAGTGGGATCGACATGACCTAGATGCGTGCTATTACCTGGCTTGGCTGGGGACATGGCCCAGTTCTGTAGAGTCCTAATAAGCCTGGTGTCCAGTTTCACGTGGATGTGACAGGCAGACCTAGTTCTGGCTGAAGGACTGAAAGCTTGTGTTTTTTTTTTTTTTTTGGCGGGGTGGTGGGGAGTTGATTTTTGATTTCTGCTTTGGTGGTCTCCTGTGCTTTATTTTCTGACACCTGCACTATGGGCAAGCGCGAAGCCTCCTCTTGCTGCACACGCTTGTCGAAAGGGCCAAAGGAGGTGAAAACAGAGTGGGCCTTGAACATCTTACCTCTCAGCACACACTGGAATGGGGCCCCTCCCCTAAATGCTCGCCCTCCCCTAAACGCTCGGCTGGTGATACTAAGCCATGGCCCCTGAGGGTCGAAGGGTGGAGGAGCACATTCCGAATGGAGACCACATCCGTCCATCTGCCTGCGGCCCGGGGTTTTAAGGGCATCTGCTTGGGCTTCCCTAAGCGCCCAGGCCGCTGTCCTCTGTCGCTGCTGTAACGACTGCCTCTGTCACCCGCAGGAGCGGGGCCTGCAGGACGACCTGAACGTCATCATCTTCTCAGACCATGGCATGACAGACATCTTCTGGATGGACAAAGTGATTGAGCTGAATCAGTACATCAGCCTGGGGGACCTGCAGCAAGTGAAGGACCGAGGCCCCGTCGTGAGCCTGTGGCCGGCCCCTGGGAAGCACTCTGAGGCAAGACACAGCAAAGTGTCCCCCTGCGCCACCACGCTGTGCGCTGTCACCTCCCCGCTGTCCGCAGCCCGGAGCGCAGGGCACACTGGAGGCACAGGACCCTGCTTGGCCTTCACTCGCCGCCTCAGTGGCTTCTGTTGAGTGGTTCATCACCCCTGACTCTGTCTGTTCTCCTGTGAAATGGGCACAATGCTATCTGACTCATTGACGTTTATGAAAATTAAATGATATAAAGGATGTGTCAGCCAGTCCTCAGGAGGGCTATTTTCTTAGACTTCTTAGGCAAATGAGGGGAATACCAGATGCAGACAGGCCTCGGGAGGGAGCTGCCAGTCTGATCCCTTTTCTTCCCGGGGCTGGCGATCAGGAGGGGCTGAGTGATGGGAGCCGAGGCCGCGTGTGTGCAGCGGGCGGGCGGGCTCCTTATCGCAGGAGCTGTGTGGCTTATCTTCAAATCCCGGCCTTGTCAACCACCAGTAACGGAACAAGCGCCCTGGCCCTGCCCCGGTGCCTGCTCCTTCTCTGCCGGTGAGAGTGGAGATGTAACCTGCGCTGCCATGGCGCACGAGGAAGCCCACAGAGAGAGGCAGGCGGAGCTCCCTGCAGACTCTACGTGACAGCACCGGTCAGAGGAGCCTGTTCCCAATAGGGTGTGGCCGCGTTCCCACAGTGGGAGTGAGGGCCCTCCAGGAGCTCAGCACCCTCTTCTTAGACAAGTAATTACAGCTGGCAGTCTGTGGTAAGCCAGCCTGAGAAAACGGGGAGGAGCAACCGGCACCCCGGCTTGCACCCTTCCCCTCCCCGCCTCACCTCGCCCCCTCCCCATACCGGTTTTGTGGCCTCTGCTCACTCCCAGATAAAACTGATCTGAACCAGGAAGCAACTGTCTTCCCAGGGGAGGCCAGGCTGCTCCAGAGGTGCCAGAAAGAGGCCCCTGGGCCGCCGCGTCACCCATCCTCAGGGCAGCATTGATGGCCGCACCTGCCATAGCAGAGACCTCCCAAATCGGTCTACTCTGAGGAGGGCAGTTGCCTACCGCCCCTCTAGACCCATACCCATTCCCCAGCCTCCCTCATCAGGAAGTGGAGGTTCCAAATTTGCTGACCTGCCCCCCTCCAGGGACTCCCTGGACAATATCAGAAAGAATATTTTACATCTCGGCTGCATCTCGAAAATTAGTTCTGTTTTCCTTGGCAAAGAAGGTGGTCCTGTCTCCAAGTTGGCAGGGGGGAGTGTGCCGTCTCCACCATGCTTGGGCATCAGTAGCTTAGGAGCTGGGGGCAGCTTCCTCCGACCGGGCGCTTCCAGTCTAGCATTGCCAGCAGCCGGAAGTGCCTGGTGGCTTCTTCAGCGGGGAGGGGACTGTGTCTGGATGACAGTTTGTCAAGCGATGGACGGAGCCACTTGTGAGAGCTCTTGTATGTGACGGATTTTTCAGTTCTCCAAAAATCTTTCTGCAAAAGCGCCCTGCTTTCCTTAAGAGCCCTGGGTTTTCTTAAGGAGGAAATCATAACTCACCGAGCCATCAGAAACCTTCTACTAAATGGCCTAGAGACAAATTATCTTTCAGAGTAGAGTTGATAAGCTCAATAGTATATGGTTATATGCAGGAATTTGGATAAAAGCCAGCAAGTCGACAGTTGATTTTAATTTTCTCCACAATATAGAAGATGTTCTTAAATATGGGAGTTGTGTAACAAAGTTTACATCCTCATCGTGAAATTAGTCATGTAATTAATGGCAACCAATTATTAGTACTTTTAAGGTTCACATGTAGGTAGAACATACTCTCTAGGTCAAATTAAAAAGCAAACCCTTTTTCTTTGATCTTTGTGCATTTAGCATGAGGTCAGCCAATTTCTCATTGCTTTTAGTAAAGCATTTTGACATGATTGGATTTTTGAAATATGTTTGTTAGTTACTGAGTACATATACCAAAATTGTTATAAGATGCATAAGGAATACAATGCTGTGACAGACACCTTGCATTCACTACACATTTTAAAAGTAGAACATTATCACTCCCTGTGACATCACCTGCGGGGCCTTCCCACACCCCACAGCCTTTCCTGCCCCATTAGAAGAAACCATTGTCCTAAATCGTGAGTTACCATATTTCTTTATAATTTCTCTTTATAGAAAGTTTACCCACTTAGAGTTTGGGTTTATAGTTTCTTGAATATGTTATGATAGGAATCATATTCTTTATATTTTTTTCATTTAAAAAAGATTTATTTATTTGAAAGAGTGACAGAGAGTGAGAGGGAGAGAGATAGAAAGAGATCTTCCATCTGCTGGTTCACTCCCCCAAATAGCTGCAACAGCCAGGGCTGGCCATGCTGAAGCCAAGGAGCCAGGAACTCCATCCTGGTCCTCCACATGGGAGGCAGGGCCCCAAGTACTTGATCCATCATCTGCTACCTTTCCAGATGCATTAGCAGGAAGCTGGATCAGAAGAGGAGCAGCTGGGACTTGAATAAGCCCTGTGGCATGGGATGCTGGCACCCCAAGCAGCCGCTTAACTGTGCCACAGTGTAGGCCCCAAATCTGTATTCTTCTACAATTTGCTTTCTATTTTCCCTCAAACCGAGATCCCTGAGATGGTTTTTCATGCCTTCATGGCTGTGATTCACTTGTCTTCATCGCTGTGTAATATTCCAGGGCAGAACCACACTGGGTTCCCTTGTGGCTTCTGTTGCTGGGCATTTGGGCTCCAGTTTGCAATATGTATTCCTCCACAAGCTTGCACACACACGTGCAAAGGTTTTTCACTACACTCCTGGACTGGAGGTTAATTTCTTAGAGTTTCCAGCCTTGCTCGATAAGCAGCCCAGTTTCCTGAGCAATGACAGGTGTTTCTCATATTTATGAAGTCAAATCTATCAGATGTTTTAGTCATTTCTTTGGTCTTGACTTGTAAAGTCTCCTCCTCCCCAGGTACAATATTCACCTATGAGGATATTTTTTAATGCTACAGAAAACTGGAATTAAAAGATGCTTATTTTGATGCAAAAATATTTTGAAATCCATGCACAGGAGGTGTTCAGAAAGTTCAAGAAAAATGCATGCTGTGAAAAATCTAGGCATGGATTTCAACTTTTTTTGCACCCAAACAAATTTATCTTTTCATTCCATTTGCTGCTAACTTTTTGAAGTCCCTAAGTGTATTTCAGAAAGAGTGCCAAACTGGTCCTTCTTGCTTTTCTTTGCAGGTGTATAACAAACTGAGCCGAGTGGAACACATGACCGTGTACGAGAAGGAAGCCATACCAAGCAGGTTCTATTACAAAAAAGGGAGATTCGTCTCTCCTTTGACCTTGGTGGCCGACGAAGGGTGGTTCATAACCGAGGTAACTATACCATATATGACAGTTTGTTCACTATTCAAATTCTATCCAAAGGTAAATTCTATATATTTAGCTTCTACAACACAAGAGGGTTTTTTGTGCTGTTGTTTTGTTTTTACCACCTACGTGTTATTGCTGGCCCTACTTCCTGCCCTAGAGAATCAGAAATGCAGATCAGATGACTTTGTAGACTCAAACTGTAGCCGTGAACCTGGAGTCATCGTGCGGACTTCATGGCTCCAGACTCGCTGTATTCTCACAGATGGGCCTTAACTCAATTACACAGACTTACAACGCAACCTGTTCAGTTTAAAGCGGAACAATTACTGTGACCCCAAGCATTTGCTTTAGGGCAGTCAAAGGCAGGGGGAGGCTCAGCCTCGCTTTCACCTTTTGGAGGAATGTTTGACGAACAACACTGCGCAGGTCCAGGCCTCCAGTTTGCCAACTTGACTTTACAGAGGAGCTGATCTTGCAGTTTTGGTCCAAACCCCAATGTCCCTGTCTGCATGGAGTCCAGGCTCACCAGGCTCTTGTACCAGTTTGTGACATTCAGGGCGTCTGTGGTCAAACATGGGTTATTTTAGAGATGAGTTTGAAGGTAGGCTGCGGCTAGGTCATACTACGGGGCAGAGGAGAGAGGCATATGACAATATCGGGGGAGGCCAACCAAGTGTATGATCTAAGACTAGTAAATCATCCCCCAAAGGGCAGGCAAGGAGTGGGTGAGCAGCAGAAATACTGGGTCAGGGACGAGGGCAGGGAAGACGGAGGTTTCTGTGTGCTCTCAGACAGCCCCCGTTCACGGAGGCACTGAGAACAAAACAGATCCAGTGAAAAACGTCGGCTGCGCGGTGCAGAGAACGGCTTTGGCCTCCTAGGCCTCGTGATTCGAAAGGTCTTCAGGAGGGTGCTTGGCCCCTTCAGGCCGCCCCCCACCCCGAGAACCAAAATGCTTCCCTTCACTTTGTCACACCGCTTTCAGGTTCACCTGCAGGGAGGGCATTCTGGGCCCGCAGCCTTGTCCCTCGAGATGGTTTTCTCAGGCTCTCGCACTGCGCACACATGCCGGCACGCCGCGGGTCACCAGCGCCTCTCCAAGTGCCTTGTGTAAGGCTGACTTTCCCCGTGGCAACAAAGGGCCTGCTGTCTAATTTATGATGTTCTGGTGGAAATGCTTTGAGTTCGTAAAAGCAAATAAACTTGTGAGGGTTAATTGACCATTAGCTGGCATTCATTTCCAAGCGTGACTACCTGTACCTATTCTTTACTTTCTCACGCTTAGCGCATGGCATCTGCACGGAGATGGTGGGTCCAAGTAGGGAGCGAGAGTGCAAGAACTCAGGGGTGCTTGGCAGGCAGTAATTTGGCTCAAACCAGGCGTAGGTGGGAGTGGGAAAACCGGAGGCCACCATGGAGACTGGGCATCTACTGAGTGCCATCTCAGCTGCAGTGGGAAAGATCTGGGGCCCCAGCAGTGGGCTGGGGCCAGCTCGGGTAAAGTGCTCTGGCCAGATGTCCTGTCCCTAGAGCTTCAGTCTGGGAGTAAACATGGTGTCTTGGCAACAGCACACCCAGCAAGAAGATGCAAGTCTTTCCAATGAATAACAAAAACTCAGTGATAGGAGCCATGGGGAATGCGTTAACATGCTTTCGGTTATCAGCCATAAACTATTTGAATAAATGTGGTTTTGAAAAAAACAAAAATTTAAGGCCTCACATACCTAGAAGTCTGGATGAAGGCAGTGTCAGGGTCATTTAATCCAGCAGCTCAGTGATACCAAGTCTGAGCCAATCTGTCTGCAATCCTTTTACCTTTCCTTTCAAGGTCACAGAATGGATGCTGCAGCTCCAGGCATTACATCCCCTCAGGAATTCCCAAAGCAGGAAGGAAGGACACACTTACATGTGTTCTTTTATCAAGAAGCAAAATATTTATCCCAGAGCCGGGGGCTGCTACAGGTTTGGGGTGTGGGGGGTTGGTCCCTGACTATTACAGAATTTGGGTGAAAGGGATTTCTCTTTAAGAAAAAGAATACATAATTATAAATGCAAAATTAGGTCCAGGCACTTGGAAGACACCCCTACAAGTGAGAGGTCCTGGTGCTTAAACTTCCTGAGCCGCACCACAGTCCACCAGCAACGTCCTGCAGCTCATCAACGAACTGACCGATGTGGCTTGAACATTCCCACTGTGGAGAGCTTGGGTACTGAGGGCTGAAACTGTGCTGAAATGCCAGGGGCCGCCCTTACAGGACAATCACAGTGCAAGGCTGGGAATTAGGCTGGCTGGGCCCCTGAAACAAAAGGCAACAAAGAAGAGGAGATGCAAGAAGCACTGTGCCAGCTCCAGCATTCAGACAGCGTGTCCACTCAGGGGCCTTCCTCCTGGCGCTAGCCCTGTTTCCACCTGGTCTGTGCCCACCCTGTCTCCCACACCACTGGGGGTCCAAGTACAGGCCTCTGTATATCTGGGGATTCTGCAACCATGGTTCGAGACTATCTGGGGGAAAAAACTTCCAGCAAGTCCCAAAGATCAGAACTTGCTGTGTACCAAGTGGTATGCTGAATACAGCAAACGTGATGTGAGGTGATGGACAGGCATTGCCTTAGGAATGATAAGTAATCTAGAGATGGCTTGAATATATGAGAAGATTGTGTGCTGTGCTGTTCTGTGTCAGAGACTTGAGCATCCTGAGATTTTGGTATCTGGTCGGGAGGATCCTAGAACCAGTCTCCCTTGGATACTGAGGAATGAGTGTGCTTGTCCCCCTTCGGGAAAGTGGCAGTCTTGTGTCTTCTGTGGGCGAGGCCAAATGGTTCTTGTACATAGGAGGATGCTTCCAAAAGTTCATGGGAAAATGGAATGAAACCATAATTTTATTTTTGGTGCAACATTTGAAATCCATGCATAGTCTTATCATAACACACATTTTTCTGTGAAATTTTGAAGCCCCCTATATCATAGTATATGTCACTTTTATAGGCACAGCATGAAGACACACATGTGAGAGTACTTCAGAAAGTTTATAGAAGATGGAATTCAAAGATAACATTATTTGGGCACAGAATATTGAAATCCATACATGTGAGGGGTTTTCAAAATGTTTGTGGACTCTACATGTTATGAAAAAACTATGCATGAATTTCAAAGCACTTTTGCGCTAAAAGTAACTTATCACTTAATTCCATTTTCCACAAATTTTTTGAAATCCTCTAGTATTTGGACAAGATCCAAAGTAAGAGTGTGTGAGTCAGCAAGGGCTACCCAATGTCTCCGCGCATTACTTAGGAAGAACACACGGGACAGAAGGGGAGAAAGCCTCCCTACGGACGTTACTTGAACAGCTTTTTAAAGCTTAGGAGTTTTTCAAAAGGAAGATATGAGGTGATTTCCAAACCGTGCAGTTCGAAAAAAGAAGCACATCTGAAATCAGATCAACGGGTGTGAAAAAGAAAGATTCATTCTGAAAGATTAGGGTTGACTCAGTAGCATTGCGACTAGGTTGGCCTCTCTACTGCCTTTCGATAGTAATGATGAGTTCTGTAAGATGTCATTCATCGTGCCTGGGTCACTAGAATGGTTGGAATGAGCCCTCTGCAAGTTCACTGATAGACACATACAGTTATTTCATATTTTTCAGATACTAAATTCATCAAGAGAATTTTGTTTAAATTTTGGTAACTGACAATAGGTATCTTGAATGAGGTATCTCCTGGCGTCCTATTTCTAATCTCACACTGTCTCTGCATTGTGGACATCATTTGTCCTGAAAATAGCAAACACAATCCACAATGCAATACAAATGTCATTCTGAGCTTCCCAGCACTCAGTCCAACCAGGAAAGTACAATTAATTGTGATCGTGTAACTAAGGGTGTCTATAATAGGAACACAGATGTTTCCCTGGAAAATCATTGTCCTTGAGACTTAAGAGAAATTTAGGTATCTTCTTGTCACTCTTTTTCCTACCCTAGTTTCTTGGGTTGAATTCTGCTATCCTTCAATTTTATGGAGTCTTGTTTTTAAGATGTTCAACGTAAGATGATCATTTCTGATTCTACCTTAACGTGGAAGGCTTATCTCTTTAAATTTCTCCCCCAAGATGCCATTCTTTTCTCAGTGGCTCAGATTTTTAAAACATCATTCTATTGCTTATTACACTTTCTTGACTACAGAAAATTGAAAACATTATTCTATATCCTTGTTCCTGCTTAGTGCCAGAACTATTACTCTCTCATATTCCTATCAGCAAGATTTCTCCCCACATGGTAAAAGAATGGTTACAGAGAGAGTTAGGGAAAAAGAGAGACACAGAGATCTTCCATCCACTGGTTCACTGCCCAGATGGCCATAGGCCAGGGCTGCTCCAGGCCAAAGCCAAGAGCTTCATCCAGGTCATCCTCTGCTTTCCCAGGTACATTAGCAGGGAGCTGGATAGGAAGTGGAGCAGCTGGGACTCAAACCAGCGCGCATATGGACAAGGGCTTTGTAGGCAACAACTTAACCCTTATCTGTGATGCCACATACTGGCCCCAAGAATGCTGAGTTTTGCTCTGTAACCTACACACCAGCCCACAGTGCAAGTGATGATGCCCTTGGCGCTAGATTACAGTTCACGTGTGCAGCGAAGATCTCAGCCCTGAGAGCCACCTCACTGGGTAGCAGACGAGTCCATTTTCTGCTTTAGACAAGATTAGGAAAACAGCTGAGTCAGGGCAAGTGGATGCTGGGCGCGAGCCAATCAAACAGAGTCCCACCCCTCCCTTCCTTTCTCCTTGTAGCTGCTATCCCATAAACGTCTCAGATCTGGCCTCTTTGGTCAAAATGCCATTCCCATATAAACACCAACTTTCTGGGGCTGGCGCTGTGGCGCAGCAGGTTCATACCCTGGCCTGAATTGCCGGCATCCCATATGGGCGCCAATTCAAGACCTGGCTGCTCCACTTCCAACCCAGCTCTCTGCTATGGCCTGGGAAAGCAGTATAAGATGACCCAAGACC